GGGCATGTGCCCTGACCGGGACTCGAACCCCGATCACCTGGATCCTAGGTCGATGCTCAACCGCTGAGCCACGCCTAGCTGGGCTACTTCTGGAAGTTTTGAAGATTTTTTAGAATAGTTGGTCCTGTAATATACTTCTTGATTTATTTGGAGGTTACACTCATGAATGTCATATCTTGAATCAGAAACCCCTCTTTTGTTGCATTGTTGATAAAATCCATTAAAAAAAATAAGTTTATTTTTTCCTAATTAAATTTTTAGTTTGACCCACTGAATGAGATGTCCCTGTTGCTCACTCTTGGCCTGGGCTGTGATTGTCCACATCACACACTACGCAGAGGCACCTGCACCATCTGCCTCCTTAAACTTGACAGTCCCTGGGAGGAGAGTGATTGAGCACGGAAGGGAGTGAGTGGGGATCTGAGGAGTAACTGCCTATTCTGGTGACAAAATAATTTTTTCATTCACTTAAGAGCCTTATTTGGAAATAACAGTAAGGATGCCAAATTGTATAGCTGGTATTTGGAATAATTAATAATAATAATAAAATGGTGGTGATTCAGTGGCCTTAGAATTAGAATACCTGAGTTCAAATGATCTTTGAATTATTAGCTTTGAGACCCTTGACCTATCAAATGCTGTTTGATCATGAGTTTAAATGGGGTATGTATATGAAGGTACCTAGGTTCAAATTAAGAACTCATAAATATTTGTTTGTTCATACTTTATATACACATATCACTTACATTTTTAAGGTACTTGAGTTCAAAGTGACAGGAAATGTTAATATTAGACTAATTCAGTTATGTAAACTATGATCAAAAAGTACCCTAGGTTTGTGTTTATTTGTCCTGATGGAACATCAGCTTTTATAATCATAAACAGAATATGGAAAATTTAAACAAACATCTAGTTAAAAAGATGCACATCATCTTGCTTTTATATATTTCCATAGCAAAATAATAAGCCAAGAAATGAACAAGTACGTGGGTGAACAAATGAATGAAGCCTGGTCCAGGAACAACTGAATTCAGTATTCTGTACTCAAAGGAAATTAGCTCAGTGTTTTCAAATGAGTCTAGTTTTTTCTTTTTGCTGCCCAACAACTCTGTTACCAGTCTTGAAGGGAAATATTTTATTCATTAACATCAAACAATATATCAGATGACTCTGTCTAACTTTCATCTATCCAGGAAAAAATATCTTTCCTTAAGAACAGACGTGATTTCAAATATGCAAGATTGGAGGATTGTTCAAGAGAAAGTTGCTTATATTTAAAATGAATTTCAGGTTTCTATTCTCAGGAAGGATTTCTAATGTAGTTCTTCCAGCCATGTTGTATAGCATGTTTTTCCTAAACTAGCCTAATTAAAGAATTATTTTTTGTAATTACCCAAAATTGGAAGTTCAGACTGAATTTTCACGGTACTCTACAAGACCGCAAAAGTTTTGCCATATTGCAATATAAATTTACCTCCATTTTTTCCTCATTCATACTGTTTTAATAGTGTCCTTGCTGAGGGTATGTACAATGTCTTACTTTTCTTTTATATCTTCAAATAATATTGGACATTCACTAAATACTTTTGAGATTTGGGATTTCTACACTGGCACACCAAAAAAAACTTTAAGAGTTAAGGATTGCCCAAACCTATTACTATTTGTAGTTTGACTAAACCTGTTACAATAAATAATGTTGGGGTTTGGCTTATGAAATAAATCAGAAAAGGTTATACACTAAAGGCCTCTGTAACAGGAGACAAGAAGATAAGACAGACTAAGGTGAGGTTAGTCACTTTGAGTTCTTTCCAAAAACAAATCTACCCTGTGATGTGATCTTGATTAATCTTGTTGATGGCATTGTTAAGTAACAGGAAGCACACACACTAAAATGTAACTTCTATAAACAGAGGGAGAGAGCAAAAAATATAATAATGGGTTACCAGAAGACTGCAGTTTCCACAGATCTCTAAGAAGGAGGAATTAAGAATCAGAAGAGGTTAACAACGAGAAGACAACCTTTGAAATGCTTGGCCTTACTTCAATGGAATTCTTTCTCAAGTAGACACTAAGACATCAAGTTACCATTATATATTATTAAGAATTTTGCAACTCCCTTTGCTTTCTGTTTATACTTACCAAACACTTGCAAATAATGACTCATTATGAGCTAACATTTATAGAGCTTTTGCAATGTGTCAGGACTGTGCTCCCAGCACTGATGTTATCCCGAGTGATTTCAAAAGTCTTACAGAACGGAGGTGCCCCAAATTTATCTAGGGTATGCCCCAAAATGACAATAGTAAGTGAACTAGAAGATAAGAAAGGTTACGTGGCTCTTCAAAGTCACCCAGCAGCACCTCAGTAGCAGAGCAAGGGCTGAGATCCAGATCTCAGAGTCTTAGACTGATCCTGGTTTTACAGTACCAGCACCTGTCCTCTTGTCCCTGTCGGTGCCCAAGGGACCACAGCTAGGTAGAGGAGAGTGTGATCAGAATGGGCTTCAGTTCTTTCTCTCCCTTTTCAGTCAGAGAAAATTTATCTTATGATGCATTGTGTTCTAAGTAAGACGTCCTAATTTTTCTTTTTTACTAAAAAAATGAGAGTAGAGCTTTAATGTTCTTAACTATCACAACAATAACAACAAAATGGTAATGAGGTAAAGGATGTGTTAACTAACCTATTGTGGTAAACATTTTGCAGTATGTATACCAAATCATCACATTGTATACCTTAAACTTACATAATATTATATGTTAATTATGTCTCCGTAAAGCTGGAAAAAATGTTGGAAAGTCATTGCTATATACATTACTATTTGGAAAAGTACTATATTAAAGCTATTAATCAAAGTACTAATTTTAAATGAAATTTGCTACTGGTTCAGAAATTGATGCCTCCCAAGTATGGCCTCACATTATTCTTTGGGTTCATTACCTGTGTTAATTTTTAAGAACACACTCAACTTTGACTTAGGAGTGAGGACCACCTTACTTGAAGAAGGATAAGCCATTTGGTGATAGTGGAAGTTCCACTATGTCTGTCTGTTAGATGTGTCTGCTAAGGAAGCATAAAAGTATGAGAAGAAAATGGGACACTGATGTCTGCATTACCTGTTGTCACTCTCAAATTCACCTTCTACCTGATTTGTCAAAATCAGACTTTTCTGTAGAGCATATTGCTAGCTTAGAGCTTAGTAGAGTGTATTTTTATTTTGAAAAGTTGCAAAGAATTCACTCGTGATGGTAAATTGTACTTACGAATGCATGCCAACAGAAATGGTCCATCTCTCTTAGAGGGAAATAGCCAGGTGCTGAAATATTCCATACAAGGGGCCAGAATTAATAGTGGTAGCATGCTGATGACATTCATTACTGCAATTGGCAGAAGAAATCCATCCAAATTCAGGTTGGAATTCATGGTCTGCAGATAATATCCTGAAGGAATCTATATTTGATAGAGCAAAGGAGTCATGCATTAAGACTGGTTTAACTTTGGAGAAAATCCTTCAGTGGATGCCTTGTTCTCTGTGACAGATGATTGGAATGTTCCCCAGGTCTTCAAGGTACCAATTATGAGCTGTCAAAGGGCAGTAGGAGCTCTATTTAATCTACTGACAATACTGCTGATTTTTTTTTCTGTTTTTTTCTTTAATGTTGAAAACATTACAGATGTTGCCTTTTTACTCCCATTGATCCTGTACACTCTGCATACACGCCACCCCCAGGCCTTCCCCATACCAATGTCTGTGTCCATGGGTTATGCTTATAAACATGTAAGTTCTTTGATTAATCTCTCCCCACCCACTCCCCCCTCCCCACCTTCCCTCTGAGATCCCTCAGTCTGTTCCATGCTTCTATGTCTCTGGATCTATTTTGTTTATCACTTTATTTTGTTTATTACATTCCACATATAAGTGAGATCATGTGGTACTTGTCTTTCTCTGACTGGCTTATTTCACTTAGCATACAACTGTCTAGTTCCCTCCATGCTGTGCCAAAGGATAACAGATCCCTCTTTTTTACAGCTGCATAGTATTCCACAGTATAAATGTGCCGCAGCTTTTTTATCCACTCATCTGTTGATGGGCACTTGGGCTGTTTCCAGATCTTAGCTATTGTAAATTGCACTGCTATGAACATAGAGGTGCATAAGTTCTTTGTGATTGTTTTTTTGGGTATCTTAGGATATATCCCTAGAGGTGGGATCACTGGATCAAATGGCAGGTCAATTTTTAATTTTTTGAGGAAACTCCATGTTGCTTTCCATAGTGGCTGCACCAGTCTGCATTCCCACCAGCAGTGTACTAGGGTTCCATTTTCTCCATACCCTTGCCAGCACTTACAATTCGTTGATTTGTTGATGGCAGCCATTCTGACAGGTGTGAAGTGAAACCTCATTGTGGTTTTAATTTGCATCTCTTTGATGATTAATGACTTTGAGCATTTTTTCATATGTCTCTTGGCCAAATGTATGTCCTCTTTGGAGAAGTGTCTATGTAGGTCCTTTGCCCATTTTTTAATTGGATTGTTTGTCTTCCTTTTGTCAAGTTGTATGAGTTCCATATATATTTTGGAAATTAACCCTTGATCAGATGTGTCGTTGGCAAATATGTTCTCCCATACAGTGGGCTTCCTTTTCGTTTTGTTGGTTTCTTTTGCAATGCAGAAGCTTCTTATTTTGATGTAGCCCTATTTGTTTATTTTCTCCTTTGTTTCTCTTGCCCTAGGAAATGTATCGGCAAACATTGCTATGAGAGATGTCTGAGATTTTGCTGCCTATGTTTTTGTCTAGAATTTTTATGGTTTCATGTCTTACATTTAAGTCTTTTAGCCATTTTGAGTTTATTTTTGTGGATGGTGTAAGTTGGTTGTCTAGTTTTATTTTTTTGCATGTACCTGTCCAATTTTCCCAGCACCATTTATTGAAGAGACTATCTTTACTCCATTGTATGTTTTTGCCTCCTTTATCAAATATTAATTGAACATAATGATGTGGTTAAATTTCTGGGTTCTCTGTTCTGTTCCACTGATCTGTATGTCTGTTCTTGTGCCAGTGCCATGCTGTTTTGATTACAGTGGCTTTGTAGTATAACTTGATATCTGGTATTGTGATTCCTCCAACTTTGTTTTTCTTTCTCAAGATTGCCGTGGCTATTTAGGATCTTTTTTGGTTCCATATAAATTTGCAAATTGTTTGTTCTAGATCTGTGAAAATGCTATTGGTATCTTAATAGGGACTGCATTGAATTTATAGATTGCTTTGGATAGTATGGACATTTTAATGATGTTAATTCTTCTAATCCATGAACATGGTATATTTTTCCATTTGTTTATATCTTCCTCTATTTCTTTTTTCAGTGTCCTGTAGTTTTCTGAGTAAAGGTCTTTTACATTTTTGATTAAGTTTATTCCTAGGTACCTTTTTTTTTAGTTGCAATGGTAAATGGGATTGTTTTTTAGTTTCTCTTTCTGAGAGTGCATTATTGGTGTATAAAAATGCCATAGATTTCTGGGTGTTAATTTTGTATCCTGCTACCTTGCTGAATTAATTTATTAAATCTAGTAATTTTTTGGTGGAATCTTTAGGATTTTCTGTGTACAATATCATCCATGTTGTCTGCAAATAATGACAGTTTTACTTCCTCTCTTCCAATTTGGATGCCTTTTATGTTTTCTTCCTGTTTGATCTCTGTGGCTAGAACTTCCAGTACTGTGTTGAATAAGAGTGGTGAAAATGGACACCCATGTCTTGTTCCTGTTCTTAGGGGAAATGGTTTTAGTTTTTGCCCATTGAGTATGATGTTGGCTGTAGGTTTATCATAACATATATATGTTATGTTGAGGTATGTTCCCTCTATTCCCATTTTGCTGAGAGTTTTTATCAAAAATGAGTGTTGGATTTTATTGAATGCTTTTTCTGCATCTATTGATATGATCATGTGATTTTTGTCTTCCAGTTTGTTTATGTGATGTATCATGTTTATTGATTTGTGAATATTGTGCCAGCCTTGCATTCCTGGAATAAATCCAACTTGGTCATGGTGAATGATCTTTTTAATATATTGCTGGATCCAATTTGCTAATATTTTGTTGCAGATTTTAATATCTATGTTCATCAGAGATACTGGCCTTTAATTCTCATTCTTTGTAGTGTCTTTATCTGGTTTTGGAATTAGGCTAATGCTGGCCTCGTAAAAAGAGTTTGGAAGTGCTTCTTCCTCTTGGATTTTTTGAAATAGTTTGAGGAGGATAGGTGTTAGTTCTTCTTTGGATGTTTGGTAAAACTCCTCTGTGAAGCAATCCGGGCAAAGGCTTTTGTGTGCTGGGAGCCCTTTGATTACTGCTTCATCAGCAGTTATCGCCTATTCAGGTTTTCTAACTCTTCCTGATTGAGTTTTGGAAGGTTGTATTTTTCTAGGAATTCATCGATTTCATCCAGGTTGTCCAGCTTGGTGGCATATAGTTGTTCACAGTATTTTCTTACAATCTTTTGTATTTCTTTTGGGTCAGTTGTTATTTCACCTCTTTCACTTCTGATTTTGTTTATTTGGGTCCTCTCTCTTTGTTTCTTGATGAGTCTGGCTAAAGATTCATCAATCTTGTTTATCTTTTCAAAGAACCAGCTCTTGGTTTTATTGATCTTTAGTATTTTTTTTTTAGTCTCTATGTCATTTAGTTCTGCTCTGATCTTTATTATTTCCTTCCTTCTATTTACTCTGGACTTTTCTTGTTGTTTTCTTTCTAAGTTTTTAAGTTGTAGGGTTAGAAAGTCTATTAGAAGGTTTTCTCATTTTTGGGGGGTAGGCTTGTAGTGCTGTGAACTTCCCTCTCAGGAATGCTTTCACTGTGTCCCATAGATTTGGAGTTGTTGTAAGTACTGATTCTTTATGGAGAAATCTTTTGTAATCTAGTCTATCTTCTTAATTTTCCTATGAAAAGTAAAAATGGCCCTAATTTTGTACTTAAGTTTTACATATAGCATTTTTTTAAAACAATAAAGCAAAAACCAGTAGATAGCATTAAGGATGTTTGTTTTCATCCTGATTGAAAAGTTTGGGGTTAGAATAGACCCTTTAAATAGCATCTAGTTTAGTGGCACAATTTTTTTCTTAAGAAGAGGGGCCCATGGTGGGAACACATAACTTGTTGGAGGCTGTGTTTGTGGGCTCCCTGGATTGGCCTCAATTCTAACATGAGCCAAGTAACAGGAGAAAAAAGGCTTACTTATGTCCCTACTCTCCTTTCAAATAAATTGTGTGGCACTAGAGGACCAAACAGGGAACTACATGGAAAAAGTTTGTACAATAAAGTAGCAGGTAAAAAAAGAAAGAAAGAAAAAAAGAAACCCTGTGCCCCATCCCAAGCCTTCAAAGTCATGTTAGAATTTCTCCATTTTAAAAATAACCCGAATATTAACTAAAACTCTACTCCTAACTTGGAGCCTCTTTATATATTCCAAACCTGTTGTTAGGTTATAACATCAGAACTAAAGCACATTGTCATGGAAAAGGGACCCTTTCCACACTATTGTAGTTTATGAGCTTTGTTGGAATAATCACATCTTTATGATTGTCATTGGCAGTAAAATATTTGTTTAATTTCCAGTGGCACACAAGGCTATTAAATGTCTTGGAGAAAAAGTCAACCCAAGTCTTGTCCTCGAGAAATGGATTCTCCAATTTTTCTTAACAGTGCGTGAACCACCATAAGATTCCTGCCTTCCTACCATCCTGGGAGAGCAGCCTTGCTCAAATATCAAGGTGATAACTTCTTCTTCTTCTTCTTCTTCTTCTTCTTTTTTTTAATATATCTTTATTGTCAAAAGTACCACAGATGTCCCCTATTTCTCCATTAACCCCTTCCACCCCACACCTACTCCCCACCCAAGGCCTGTGTGAAACCTTCACTAACCCCTTCTCTGTCATCAATTGTGCAACTTGAGCAGGGGTAGGAGAGTCAGTCATAAGTCACTATAGCTGTTAACGAGCCCACCAATTATACAATGAGCCTATCACTATGTTCATTGCTTAAACCCAGGAAGGGACCACATTTTCAATGATATATTTTTTTCCTATTTATATGAAATATGTCCCGGTAATAATTTATCTCCCAATCTTTAATTTGACCCATGGCATTGTAAGCAAGGATTGTTCTGGTTGGGTACAGATGGCAAGAGTGAAGGGAATGTGAGCTAGTTCTGCCCTAGTTCAATAAAATTATTGGGCACGCATCACCCAATCAGAGGAAAATGAATGATGTTTTCTTAAAAAAAGTGCTGGCAGCAGAACCACTGTAAGATGGAAAGGCTCCCAGCACAACCTGGAAGTTTCTGTTACTGATTTCAAATGAGAATTATTGTTAATAGGAATAAAGTTATTATCAGCATGAATCACAGACACAGAAACCTGTTAACTTAATAATGTGGCAAATGTACTATTAATCTTTAGTGAAGCAATATTAATATATTGCCTAATCTAAGAAAAGGCTCGAGTGTCTTGAAAGCTTGAAATCATTTCTGCTTCTGCCTAAAGTTCTGAAATCATCCCTTTTTAAAGTTTTAAATACTTTCATTTCAGACAAGCCTCCAAGTTTTCAGAAATAACTGCTGTCAATAGAGATTCGTTTTCACCTTTGAATGAATGATAATGTCACAGGGCAACATCATCAACCTTAATATCAACATATTTTAAATGTATGTCTTGGAACTGGAGGTCAATAATGGCCACTAAATTTAAAATATGAAATTCTATGATGTTTTATTCTTGGTTCTTTGATGATCTTTATACTGGTGATTATTTCTCCTGGAGGCAAAAGTCTAATTCCAGCCTATCCCAATGGAAGTTTTCTTTGCTTCTCTTGAGAAGTACATTCTAACCATTTTCTTTGAAGTTTCTGACAAACATGACTATATATCATTTGAAACCTATATAGTCTGTATCAGAGATTTTTAACCCAGGTGCAAGAGAGGCATTGTGGGTAATAGCAAAGTGTGAGTGTTGATACCAGCCCTGAATTAGGATGACCAATCTGCTGCATACTAGTAGGGTGACCTTGAACAAGTTGCAAGTTACTTAATGTCTTTGAGCCTCAGATTTAGGATGATAGTATGAGCTCTGCAAGCCTGTTGTGGGGATTAAATGAGATACTGTGAAGTCATCTTTCAGAAGCTATGACACATATAGCTTATCAATAAGTGTTAGTTTTTGTTCTTTGCAATAAATCAGGTGCCTGGATTTAGCGAGATGCTTACGAATTATGTTATCAGAATTTATTGCAATTTGTGTCAAATTAAAAATATATGACATTTTTCAGAGAAGGCTCAGTCAAAAGAAATATCAGGTGTCACTACATTATGAAGATTAAAGAATCAGTAATTTGTGTTATTTGCACAGAAAATTCAAGGCTAGCTATGAATCACTTAGTAATTTTGTATTCATTAATTTCTTCATTCTAAAACATTTTTATGATATTAATGATCATATATATGGGTAATATTTGGGGTTTTTGTGCCAGCTACTATTGTGGAGTCAGGAGGGAGTTTGAATCTGCTCGGTCAGCCTAGCTTTCTTGCCTTGTTTAGAGCACGGGTCACCAAACTTTTCTGTGAAGGACCAGATAGAAAATATTTCCACATACAGATTCTATTGCAACTACTCAATTCTGCTGTTTTTTATGCATAAGTAGAATACAGTATGACAAACAAACAAGAATGGCTATGCTCCAATAAAACTTATTTGTGGACACTGAAGTTTGAATTTCATATAATTTTCATGTGCCACAAAATATTGTTTTATTTTTTATTTTTTTTCAACTATATAAAAATGTAAAAACCATCATACTTTACAGGACATACAAAAAAAGACAGCAGGCTGGATTTGTCCTGCAGGCTGTAATTTGCTAGCCCCGGGTTTAGAGAAACAAGCATTATACTAAGAGTTAGAACTTATATTCTGTTTTTCCTTTAATGCTGTTAACTGTGCAAACTACTCATTCCCTCCAAAATCACTTAATTTTTCTTAAAAAAAAATAATTATTGACTTTTAGAGAGGAAGGAAGAGGGATAGAGAGATAGAAACATCAATGAGAAACATCATCAATTGGCTACTTCTTACACAACCCCTACTGGGGATTGAGCCACAACCTGGGCATGTCACCTCTTGGTTCATGGGCCGATGCTCAACTACTGAGCCACACCAACCAGGCTCACTTGATTTTTCTGAGCCTCAGTTTCCTTTACAACAAATGAAGTAGTTGGGTAAGTTAATCTCTAAGTTTCTTTTCAGCTCTGTTGGTCTCTGACATATCAGTACAACTACTCATTAGCCATTTAAATTCCAAGTTGGGGGATAGTCCGAAATTCCTTCAAGGACTTTCATAATCATGTGGTATATGAGAATATATTAAGAAATCATAATATTTCTTCATAAGTATGTTAGTCTTTGAGCATTACTACATCAAAAATTGTTTAAATAGCATATATTTATAAAGGATACTTTGAACTTACTGTTTTTCCTCAGATTTCTCCACAGCATAGGGACTGATTCACCAAGGAACTAAGAGTGGGTAGGGAGAGAATCACTTGCTCATTAGTACTTATACTTAAGAGTACAGTGGGGGTGGTACTCGAATCAGCCAATTTAGCTACTTGTTAGTAGCAGTTTTTAAAGGCTTAATGAGGGAGGAAGGCAAAACCTTTGGCTAAAGGGAAGTTGGGTAATTGCTCATAGAGCTCATATTTTCGTTTGCTGCTTTTATGCCTTATAACTATGCTCTCTGAAGTATTGTCTGTTTCTACTGACAGACATTTATAGTTCTACAGGAGAAACAACATAGCAAGGTTCTCTGCAGGTAGGCCTCTACCTGCCCCCACCTAGCTTTCAAAATTAGAGCCTATAATGATTAGAAGCATTTACAGTTGAACTGCCCGACAAAATGTATGGGGAGCACTTGTTGGGGTGAAAATAGGTGTTTCTTTATTAATATGCAATTATTTTATTGTTCTTGGGGGTGGTACTAATTACCCTTCCTTACCTGCATAATGCACATTTTGTAAAGAAGCTGCCAAATGAAGAGAGGGAGAAGGGTGCAGAAGCATTTTGTGTCTTCCACATGGAGCTCACTGTAGCAGCCACCATTTTTTTCCTTGGCGTGGTCTAACCGGCTCGTCAGATCTCCACGAAGGTGGCAGTGTCGCAGACAGCATGCTCTCAGTGCGTTAGCAAACACCCCAAAGATGGTCAGGAGGGAGCAACCTGCAAATAATTGGAGATAGCATGTATTAGTGAAGGAATTGTTCTTTCGTTTTCCAAGATGTCAATCAGAAAGATGACAGTTGTATGGATGAAGGACAGCAAAGGGACTGAGAAGGCTTTAGCACCCAAGGGGTTGAATTCAAAGGAGCAAGCTCTGACAAGGGTTCTGACATTCTGGTGACCAGTCCAAGGTGGTGCTTGACAGCTGATGTAAAACATGAAAAAGGTAAGATCAATGGGAACATATTGAAAAGGGAAGAAAGGAGAGAAAAAAACACACACCAAAGTAAAAATTTTAGAATCTGTCAGATGTCTCTAACTTTAACTCATTAATGGATAAGACAACCTGAACTTTCTTTTACAGCCCTAACACAAAGAACTGGGACAATTTTTAAAATATAAAGTGTTATATAAATAATCTTCACTTTACTTGTCATGTAGAAGGTGGTTTCATATTTTGACATGGAGATGAAGGGAAATGTGTTCTCTGCTTTGACTTTATCCTTGAATTTCAGACATAAGGTTAAACTTCGAACTCTTCAGATGACTTTATCCATGTTGATAGTGTCACTAAAAGTTCAGATTGGATTAGTTGGTTTTTGACTTTTCCAGGAGTTTCCTCTGGGTTTATGTGGCTGTTGCTTTAATATCAGAAGCATTTTAATGCTTTAGATGTTTGCAGTCCCTTACTGCTAATGGTTTGCAACAGCATTGTTGCTTCTTTTACGATTCAGATTCACCTTTTCTTTGACTCCATTAGGACTTCCTGATACGAGGACAGATAAAAGACCCCTGTTTAGTTAACAGTTCAGTTGTGCTATCATGATTGTTACAGTTTTTTATAGAACCCCTTTGACCAGATAAATCCTTCCACAGATTACGTAGACACCAAACCATAGTTTCAGGATAAATGGGAAAGGAAATGTGAAAACGTCTGAGTTTCTCCAAAGAAGGCTGCTATAAATACTCAAAGTATAGTTTGGTTGTCATTTTGATTATGTCCAAGTTTCCTATAATAAAATTCTAGATGAAATGCATTCTAACCAAGTTCATTTAAATGCCACAGAGTTTTGAATTTTATATTTAAATAAAGAATATTAATATTTCTTTTTATGGTTAGAATGATTATATTGATTTGACCTGGTCTTTTCTTTAAGAGTTGTAATAGACCTATTATGTCAATCTTTGATTAATTAAGGAAGCTGGGGGCCTGGTAATTGGATATGGAGCCTTTTACCTCCAAGTCACTGAATCAAATCCAGCTCAAATTGTTAGTGACCAAGAATGATTACAGTAGTCGCTCTTTGGTGGCCTCGGTGAAGTGTGTTGAGGTCAAGTGGAAGTATGTTTGGTAACTGCTGACACAAGATGGGCTCATATCAATAGTCACTATTGCCTCTTTTTAGTCGCTAATTCCAGACACAAATAAAAGGCCCAGGGGACTGAGAAGGCCATAGGGACAGAAGCACCTGTAAGTGGCCAAGGTTTATATCTCTTAGGAAAAAAGTAGTAGGGATATCTCATTATTGCAGGAAGAATTGCTCTATTTTGAGACTTTCCTAGCTATTTCAATTAGTTTACTTAAGGTTTTAGTAAGATGAGAACTGAGAATGTCTTCATGAACAGTCAGAGAGAATTTGAATAGGTCTGGGATAGGAGGCTTAACTTCCTGACATTTCCTTATGATCTTGTCTCTATTTCTTAAAAACCTGTTCTCTGTTCAACTCTTGTAAAATAGTGCTGTGTAGATAGTCATTACTGGCATTGATTCAACTTACTCTCTGCTTTCAAACAGGCTTTATTGCTAAATGATAACTATTTGCAGAATGAATGACTATTTCCAAAGATAATTCCTCAATATTTCTCCATATATTTCAAATTCAAGGACTTTATTGAATATTTGTTTTAAACTCACTACTTATTTTTTTAATATAAACAATTCACTATTTGTTGCAAGGTAAATTTGGATTTGTTCTCATGCATGATAAATCGATACCTGTAATTTTATTAAACAGCCAAATGCCGCTATCATATTATTTCTAAAGAGAGATAGCTTAGATTAGTGCATCTTCAACTAGCTGTGTTAAAAGATCAGTTTTTAAAAACACATTCATAACTATCATGGCCAATACATTTGTGAAATACAATAAAAATGAAATACCAAAAGAATAAAATAAGAAGCAAAGACATACAAAATATAAGTCCTTATATTTTATTGTTAGATTCAACAGACATAAAACGCAACTTTCCATAAATACTTCTCCATGTTTTCTCTCAGTGTCTATTTATTTTGTTGCATACCAGTAACAAACAGTTTATTGATCAGCTCTGCTCCATGGATCAGGCTTTGAGTACCACTGAATTCAACTGAATACATACTTTGAAAAACAAGTTTATTGAAACAAAAAGTTGTATCTGATGTGGTGATACGAAGCAACAAAAATAAAATGGCTAAGAAGAAGGAATGATTAAGCACAAATGAGGTCTAAAATTTGAGCCAGCACTGCAAGTGCTTATAATTGGTGCCAAACAAATGTGAACATAATTATTTATTCATTTAACATATTTATTAAGTACCTACTGTGTACCAGGGACTTTTTTAGGCTTTCAGAATATAGCAGTAAAAAAGACCTACAATTCTCTGAGTTTTCTTTCTGGTGGGGATGACAGCAAACAAGCAAGAAAATAATTAGGCAAATTCAATAATAAAAACAAAATAGACAAATAAGATAGAGACCTACTGTGGGGTTTGGTGCAGAGGAGAATTTAAAAGTGGAAATTTGAACTGAGGATTGAATAGACTGGAAGTAAGCAAAGAGCCTTGGAGGAAGCATATGCCAGACATGTCGTGAGAGGTTCAGGGACAGTAAAGGCCAATGAGGTAGTAGCTCAGTTAGAAGATTGGGAAGAGATGAAGTCCAAGAGTTGGTCAGGGGTCAGACATCAGGTCAAAGTAAGGAGCTTAGATATTATCCTCAGTGATATGGGACACCATTGAGATGTTTTATGCAGAATAAATATAACATAGGGTGTATACTTTTTAAAAGTTTATGCTGAAACTTTGGTAGCTGCATGGATAATGGGTTTTAGGGAATAGAGAGGAAGCTGGGAGACAGGCAAGAGGTAGTGTTGACTTAGACATACCAGTCGCAACAAAGAAAAGTGAACAGGATGGGATGTGTTTGTGAACAATCAATAGGATTTTCTGATGTGGAGAGAGGTTGAAGAAATGAGAACATTAAGAATGACTACTTTTCCCTCCTTAAATAACTGGGTGTTGGTGATTTATATTGAGATGGAAAAGGCAAGAAGGGAGTCAGTTTGAAGTTGGAAGGATCAAGAGTTGAGTTTTGATGAGGTTAAGTTTGAGACTATTAGATAACCAAGACAAAATGTTGAGGAGGAAGTCAGATTTATGAGTTTCAAGGTGTCAGAAGACAGGTCAATATGAAACTGAGTGCTTGGTATATGGTTGGCATTAAAAACTATGGGACTACAGGTTACTTAAGGAAAGGGGGTGGGAAGCGAAGAGCCAGGGTCCCTTGGTTGAATCCTAGGGCTCTGCATCAATTAGGAAGAGAAAACTTAGCCAAGGAGGCGGAGGGAGAGTAAGCAATGTGCGTTGTAAGTCAGGGGATGGAGAAGTAATAAACCCAAATTGATCAGCTGGACTGAGAGAGAGCCAATAAGCTAGATAGAGAGGGCAAAGCAAAGAACTGTACAGTAATCTGCCTGTCTTATCAAACCACAGAGTTATCACTGAATGTTAGGAGTTGAAAACATCTACATCTACACATCACACTGCCGCCTTGGATTAATCCATTAGACTTAATAGAAAACTCATGCCTCAGTACAAATAATTTTGGGTGTCATGTAGACTCAGTCTTAAAAAAAATCCATTGTCATTATAATTCTCAAATTGCTTTTCTGCACCAGGAGCAGAAATGGGAACTGAAAAAAAACTGGAATAAAAATGCAACTGAGACTTCAAGCTCCAGTTTAAATGTGCAAGCACACCAGGCGTGCACATTTTAAAATAAAACAGATGAGCTATTTAAAATGTTTTATTGCAAAACTTAAAGATTGTCGCCATTACTATTAAAAAAACTTCCGAAAGCAATTTTTCTATTCTTTGTACCTTTAAGTCCTTGGCTCTGATGTTCTGCTCCTCTGACCTTGATCTAATCATGAATATCTATGCTACTTAATTATAATAAAAAAGCCTACATTGCACTCTAGATCGTAGATGCACATTTTTTTCTTCTTTGGTCACCTGCCAGTTCTCAAAATTATAGCAGTGGGAAGAAATGCAAATGAAGGCCGTGCTTGACAGCTAAACATAATGGAATGCATGGTCCACATTTGAAAAGTTACCTTAAAATAAAAGGTAGCATATAAAAAATCATTTCTTTAAGGTCACCTATGGCTTTGAATTACAGCTTTGAGGAATTTCCAATTTAGTCATCAGAGAGGAAGAAGCCAAAATAAAGATTATATACTTTGCTAGAGGGAAGACAGAGTTTTACTTCACCAGAGTTGGGTGATCTTATAACTTGGAAACAAAGCAAAACAAAAGAAAAAAAATCCAAAATATTTATTTTATAGATTATTGTGTAAAGCAAACCACTGAGCAACATTTTCTATTATAATTTTACTAGCAGTTAGTAAATTTTTTTTGTAAATGTCCAAATAATGCTTACCTTATCACATGTTAAAAAATGTAACATGTGGGCTACAATAGGCTGGCAGTTAATGTCATAGACCTGGGTTATGTCATTAACCGAGAAAAATAAGGCCTGGGTTATGGTTCCATTTTAGCCATTTTTGTGAGGTCTTGGGTAAGTCATTTAATAAATTTTGTCTTAGTTTCTACACTTAGTTATAACAAGCCTTGACTGAGCATTTACCATATTCCAAGTGTGCAAGACACAGGAATTTCTAACTGTATTCATAAATTGATTATTTCAATATAACACGGCAGATGAAATGGTAAAGATATGCTCAGGGTGCTACAGGAGCAAAGGTAAAGTATATAAAGTCTCATCTGTAAAAAGATATACGTGCCCTTTCTACCTACCTCACAGGTATGTAAGGAAAATGAAGTAACACTGAATACACCTAATTTTTAAAAATACAACTCATTGCATTGTCATTAGTAGTAGTTGTCTAGATAAATAGTAGGGACAGTCACAGTAGTCAAAGTACTACCTAAAGTAAAATATGTTAGAAATTAAGGTCACAATTAAGCAAGACAGAGAAATAGATAGGTCCATCAAGGGAACAGAATAGAAACTCCAGAAATGTAAATGGCAGTATACAGTGAAGATGATATCTCAAATTAATGGGGGAAAATACAGACTTTTTAGTAAAAATTTTAGTATTTTGTCTCATTAAAAAGGACTGACTATTCTTGAAAAATATGTAAACTGATCCCTAAAAGAATAGGGGAGAATATAAGAGTATATAGATCTTGTTTTGGACATAAATTTTACATAATTTGAAACAAAATTAAAATTTAAAGATACCTCAAAGTATAAAGAAAATTGGAACAAATGCACTTACTTGTATGTGAAGTTAGTGGTTTAACCAGATAGAGAGGAATTATAGTAAGCGATTTTACTTAGGTTTTGCCTCAAAATTGCCAGGAGGGATGACGAAAAGTAAGGACAAGTTGGCTGAGAGATAGATAGATGGGTTCATATGTGATTTTTTACTACTTTTGTTTATGTTTAAAACATTCCATTATTAAAACTGTTTAACAAGGGACAGCTAAAAGAAGATCGAGATTATTGATATTCTTGCAGGCTCTGTTGCTCCCACATGTAATAACTGGCAGGATCTACAAATTCTGTGAGTTGAAAGAGAAGTCATAGAGAATCAAGGAGGGAAGAGATATGTCAAGAAAACCATAAAAACCAAAAAGTTAATATAAAATGTGACTGACTTACATTTTTCTGGCTGATAAATCACATTACAATGCATCATATGAAGAGTTATCAGAGCCATAAGTGCAGACATAAAAGGGATAAGTAAAACCAGGACCCATGCTCCTGAGTGCTGAATGTAAGATATTCCTAGAAAGACTGCAGTAGCATTTAGGTTCATGAGCCAGTAAAACCTGAGGTGCACAGACAGACAAAAAGAAAAATGCCAGTGAGTCACTTCAGATAACAATTGCTAATTTTAATGCTTTTTCATAAATGTAAGCTATAAAAATTATGGCATGTTAGCTCAACTACATTTTACAAATATTATTAGATTTCTAAATAAGTTTATACTTATCAGCTGTCCTATCAGTTTAATTAGCTTTGTTTCCTTTCTATTTAGAAGAGATGTAGAAACAGTGTCCTCTTTTATCTAAAGCAGAAGTTGACAAATGTTTTTTGTAAAGGGCCTGACATATAAAGCTTAGGCTCTGCAGGTCATATGGTCTCTGCAGCAACTATTCAACTCTGTGCTGTGGAGCTAAAGGAGCCATAGACAATGGAATACACCCAATGAACCTGGAAAGTTACATGGCTAAAGAGTTGAATCTTTTTATTTATTCCTGGGAAAATTTAGGAGAACTCAGGTTATATAAAGACCATGCATTAAATCAAAGAGATGAGTGTCATTTGAATAAAACTTTCAGTGTCTCCTTGTCAGTAGTATTACAAATAAGTACCTATCTCTTGCCTGGCCTGGTGTGGCTCAGCAGTTGAGTGTCAGCCTAGGATCCAAGAGATTGCGGTTTGATTCCCAGCCAGGACACATGCCCAGGTTGCGGGCTTGATCCGCAGTTGGGGGCGTGTAGAAGGCAGCCGATCAATGATGACTCTCTCATCATTGATGTTTCTATCTCTCTCTCCCTCTCCCTTCTCTCTGAAATCAATAAAGATATATGTAAAAACCAAAAAACAACAACACCCCAAATAGGTACCTACTCAGTTGTCAGATTTGCAATTTGTGGGGAAATCATCTCTATCTCTCAACCTTCCATGGGGCCCAAATCCTGCCATAGAATCCCATTGCAGAGGAGGGGTCCTTAATATTAACTTAAAAAATTATGGAGGTAAAATTAAGTATAACAAAATCTACCCACTTAAATATATAGTTTTATGAGTTTTGATAAATGTTTTATTTTGCAAACACTAATAAACCTAAGTTTTAGGGCACTTAACATTATCACTAGAACTTAAAGGACTTACCTGATTAGATCAGGCCCCCCCAGGATGCCAGGATTATCTCCCCTTCGATTACCTCCAAAGTAACTAATTAGGCCTTAATTATATTGCAAAATCCCTTCGCCTTTGCCATATAACATTCCATAATCATCGGGGTATCCAGTCATCTTTGCCATAATTTATTGGGTGAAGTCAGATTACAGGTTATTCCCACATTCGGGGGGATGGGTCTGTCAAGAGTGTGACCCGTTGGGAGTCATACTCTGGCATTTCCTGTACATCTTCTAATTGAAGGAGAGAGGAAATGATGCAGAATTAGGCTGTTAATTAATTAAAGACCAGCCTCCTTACTGTACCTCATTCCACTAGCCCACGGAGGATGGAGGCTTAGCTCCCTGCTGTGCCCAGCTGGCACTGCCCCCAGGGTGAATTGGAGCACTGCCAGGTTCTGCTGGGCAGGGGATGGAAGACCAGCTCCTCTCTAAGGCTCACTAACACGCCCCTCAAGTGTGTGTGTGTGTGTGTGTGTGTGTGTGTGTGTGTGTGTGTAAAATATCAGATTCCTTTTTCGGCTGAAACTATGGGGCTAGAGCAGGGCAGTTTCCATAGTGTTCAGCTGAAGTAGTGAAGTAGGGCAGGTATTGTCAACAAGATGTTCTTTTCTTTCTTTATTTAGCAGTTTTACGGTTTTAGATCTTATATAAGGTCAATGATACATTTTGAATAAAATTTTCAGTAGGTTGTCATGGGTAATTTTTTTCTATATGCTATGTAATTATTCCAACACAATTTATTGAAAAGGTGATCTTTTCCTGTTGAATTTTTTTGGCACCTTTGTTGAAAGTCAATGGACCACATAAATGTGATTCTTTATTCTGATTCTCACTTCTGTTCCACTAATCTATTCTTATGCCAATACCATATTGTTTTTATTATTGTTTTGTTTTCACTTTGTTTTAAAACAGCTTTATTGATGTAACTGACATACAGTAAACTGCAAGTGTTTAAAGTGTACAGTTGGATAAGTGTTGAAAATATATGCACCCATGAAATGATCACCACACTCAAGAGAATGAGCATGTCCATCACTCCCAAAAATTTCCTTATGTTCTTCTGTAATCCCTCCCTGCTGCCACCTCCTCCCTATCTCCAGGAACTGCTCATCTTTTTTTGTCTGTCACTACAGATTAGTTTTCAATTGATAGATTTTTTTTTTGGTAAGTGGAATTTTCCAGTAGGGACCCTTTATTTGAATCCTTGCACTTAGCATAATAATTTTGAGATTTTTCTGTGTTGTTGTGTTCGTCACTAGCAGATTCCTTTTTATTCCCAAGGAGTATTCCTTTATATAAATATACCACATTTCATCTATCCATGTATCTGTTGATGGGCACTTTCCTCAGATTACAGCTAATTACAAATGATGGTGTTTTGAATATTCATGTACAGGTCTTTGAATAGACAGACTTTCATTTCCCTTTGGTAAAACACAGGAGTGGTATACCAGTTAGAAGTATATTTAACATTTTTAAAATTTTCCAAATGGTTTTCAAGTAGTGGTAACATATTTCTATTACCACCACCTCTGTATAAGAGTTCTAGTACCTCCATATCTTGGACAACACTTGGTATGGTCAGTCTTTACTTTAGTCGTTATAATAGATGTGTGGTTTTATTGTGCATTTCCCTAATGACTAGTGATATTGAGCATCTTTGCATGTGCTTATTGGCCATCTGTATATCTTCTTTGGTAAAGTTTCTGTTCAAATCATTTCTCCATTGTAAAAAATTGTGTTATTTTCTTATTACTGAGTTTTGAAGAGTTCTTTATATATCCTGAATCTGTCCTTTATTAAATAAGTGATTTACAAATGTTTTCTTCCAGCCCATATTTTGTCTTTTGATTCCCTTTGGAGTGTCTTTGAAGAGGACACATTCTTAATTGTAATGAAGTCCAATTATCATTTTTTCTCTTATGGAGCATACTTTTTGTGTTGTATTTAGAACATCTTTGCTTAATCCAAGGTCCCTGTTCTTCAGGGAAGAAATTCGAGCATTGGAAACAGACTCTTCCAAATTCTAACAGCTGTATTGTTGCAGAGCTGTGAGTAGAAGCCACCTGTTCTGGTGCAGCCTCTAAGGAAAGGCTACCTGGCTCAATGTCTTTTTTATACTTCTTTCCAGGTATTTCCAGTTATAGATTTCACGACACCACCATTTCCTCATTAATCCAGGGTTTAACATTTGAATTACCTTTCACTCATGCCTCTTAACATGTTTTATATACCATTAATTATAAATATTGTCCTTTCTCTTTAGAATGGTTGTCAGAGACTTGAGTTTGAATTACAGCTCTGATAATCACACGATCTGTGATCTGCAGTTCTCTGAAATTTTGGGTCTTTATATTTAAAATAGGGATTATACCCTCTGCACAGAATTTTTGTAAAGATTGAATGAAGAACACAGACGGTAGCTGTATAGTGCCAAGCAAATGTAGTTGCTGTTCACTTTTTCAGGAACAAAAATAACAGTGACATTAGGGCATAGTGACAAGAAACAGAGCGTTAGTAAAGGATATGAAGCAGTTATCTGTGGTCCAGATCTTTTAGGTCCTTGAAGTTCAGAGTAAGGAGTTTAGATTTTATTTCTAGTGCATTGGGAAGCCATTTGAAGGTAATTAAGCAGGGGGCTGAAACGATCTGATTTTAAATGGGAAAAAAGATTAATGTGTCAGCCTATGAACTGCAGATAGCGCATGGCAAGTAGACCAGTCCTAGCTGTTGTAATAGTCTGGGGGAGCACTAAGCTTGAACTGGACCAGATGGTAACGAAGGAAAGGAGAGAGGTCGCTAGATATGTGATGTCTATTTGGAAAGATGTGTACAGTTAGGCTAGTCTCCTTCCTATCTTATAAACATGCGTGCTCATTTCCATCCCTGTGCTCATTCTTTGGCTTGACCTGTCTCACTTTCAAAGTCCCATAACTTCATTCATTTATATTTTTATTTTTTTAATCCTCACCCAAGGATATTTTTTCCATTGCTTTTCAAAGAGAG